GCGCGCGCAGAGAGGACCTGTGGGTGCGTGAGGGGAGGATTTTAGACCCAGAGAAGCTGTTCTTCGATGAGCAGGGATACGCTGACAAACATGTGGACTGTGAGGGCAGCATCATCGCGCCGGGCTTTATAGACGTCCAGATCAACGGTACACACACACCCACAGACACACACCTTTGCATGTGTTTCAGAAGCTGCGCTGCTGCAGTAACTTTGATACCTGGTCAGACGGCGTGCTGGAACAAAGATGACAGAACTGCACAGCTTCAAACTCTTCTTAATGTTCAGTCTCTGGAGTTGAAGGTGGTGTCAGTGGCATCTGAGCTGACGCTGCAGTTTTTCAGCGTCAGAGTCACAGAGAGCGTTGTTGCTGCTGAGGGGGCGGGGCTAGTTTATCTTGAGGGGAGTAACGGCTCGTCTTCCTGCCGCAGGGGGTTACGGCATCGACTTCTCGCAGGCGTCTGAGGACGTCAGCGATGGAGTTTCGTTTGTGGCCAAAAAGATCCTCGAGCACGGCGTGACGTCCTTCTGCCCGACTCTGGTCACCTCCCCTCCCGAAGTTTACCACAAGGTCACTGCTTCATTTTTATCAGTTCAAGTTTAGACGCGCTCGCGTGTTCAGGGGTTCCTGGTCTCTCCTTCAAAGTCATCTTCTGGAGCATCTCTGGACAGCTTCTTCCAGGCCAGCTTCTGCTTTCAGTTCCTTCACTGGAAGGTTCTGCTGCACCGCCTCCACCCGCCATCTAAAACCAAACCTGGAAACAACCAGGACGGAGCAGGGAGAGCACTGAGAGTTAAACTAAAACTGGAGATCAGGGTTGGAGGCAGCAGCACTGGAAGGTTCAGAGGTGCATCTGAAGCTGATGAAGTGAAGGCAGGTGTGAGTCGTGCATCTCCCTGAACACGCTGAGCATTTACACGTCGGGGCGCTAACGATCGGTGACGTGAAGCTTCTACGTGTAAAATCACAGCATCATCAAAATGTGTGTTCCAGGTTCTGCCTCAGGTCACAGTTCATGATGGAGGACCACATGGAGCTGGAGTTCTCGGTGAGGTTTTACAGATGCTGTTGGTGAATGTTTGTTGTGTTCTTTGTTTATCCTCATTGATCAGAAGCTGCAGACGTGTTTGCGTAAACGATCACGCTGCAGCGGTACACGAGCGCCGACCGCGGCCGAAAATGGCGTCTGTTTCACTTCCTTTAAACTTCCGTGTGCAGGTTTTCACCTGGAGGGTCCGTTCATCAGCGCCGAGAAGAAAGGAGCCCACCCGGAGAAATACCTCCGCACCTTCAAGTCCGGAGGCCTCGAGCACCTGATGGAGGTCTACGGCAGCCTGGACGACGTTGCCATAGTGACGCTTGCTCCTGAGCTGCCCGGCAGCCAATCGGTGGTGAGGGAGCTGAGCCAGAGGGGCATCACTGTGTCTTTGGGTGAGCATCGTGTAGTCACGGCAACGATTATACAGCAAAGTGATGATGATGTAAATAATAAAACACGAAAGTTTCATTTTCAGTTTTATTTACATTTTTTCTGTTTCTGTAATATTTGACATTTTATTTCTTAATTTGTCTTTTTTTGCATCTTTGTATTTTTTAAAATATGATTTTATTTATTTTAGATTATTTTTATTTTCTTTAAACATTTATTATTTTTGAGGTTTTTTTTTTAAATTAAAAAAATCAAATTTTTAATTTATTATTTTATTTATTTCCATTTTTAGGTGTTTTTTATTGTTTGCATTATTTATTTTAAGTGTGCTTTTATTTTGTAGATTCTTTTTAAAGATAACTTTCTAAAATGTTCTTATCCTTTTTTCATTTCCATATTATTATTCAATCCTTGTTTACTTATACACTTTTCTCGTGTGCTTGTATTTTTTATTTTAATGATTGATTTCATTTTTATTTCCTGTTTCTGTTGAAATCGTGTTCCGGTTCGGTGCTGTGCGCGGTGTTAGCGTGGGCCTGTCAGTCCTCTGTAGAGCACCTGGAGCTGCTGTAATCGTCTGAGAGCGCTGATGTGAACAAAGTTTGCTCGACTGGTTCTTGCAGGTCACTCGGCGGCCGACCTGTCGCAGGCCGAGGAGGCGGTGCAGCAGGGCGCGTCCTTCATCACTCACCTGTTCAACGCCATGCTGCCTGTGAGTCCCAGCTGCTGCTCGTCTCTGAGTCAGTTTCTGTTCAGCCCGGTCGGTTTCACGCTCTCAGTAATCCTTCTGTGTCTGCTGTGGTCCAGTTCCACCATCGTGACCCGGGCATAGTGGGTCTGCTGACCAGCGACAGGATCCCCGCAGGCAGGGCGGTTTATTACGGCATGATCGCTGATGGCATCCACACCAACCCTGCAGCCCTGCGCATCGCTCACAGAGCTCACCCGTCAGGTCTGCCCGAGGTTTCTATTTCAGATCAGCAGCCAAAAGCACGAAAATCTCCCCAAATATATTCCTAAATGTATCAGAATGTTCTTATTTTGGTTCCAGAGGTTGGTAAAAGTCTGCAAACGTGTTTAAACGTGTGGCATCACCTGGGAGTAGATGGATTTTGGACTTTCCCGTGTCTTGTGTGCTTCATACTTTCAGGTCTGGTGCTGGTGACGGACGCCATCACCGCGATGGGTCTTCCTCCTGGCCGTCACACTCTTGGCCAGCAGGTCATCGAGATCCAGGGTCTCCACGCCTACGTGGCAGGTCTGATGTTCTTCAGACGTTATTATCTAACAGGCCCGTGGTTTCCTGAGCGATGCTGCAGAAAGGAGCAAACGCATAACTAGAACCAGAGATCGGAGAAGTAAAATAAATCGTTCTCGCGACGGTTTCATGTGTAAAACTCTGTAACGTCACTCTTTATGTGTTCAGGCACCAAGACTTTGAGTGGCAGCATTGCCACGATGGACATGTGTGTGCGCCACTTCAAGCAGGCCTCAGGTCAGTTTGTGTTACTTTAATGACTAAAACCAGGAAGTAGAATCATAATGAGCAGTGGCGCGCTGCCTCATGTAAACTCCAGCAGGTGAGACCCGGTTGCTGTGGCGATGCAGGTCAGATCATCATTGCTCTTCACTTCCTGTTCTGTCCTCCAGGCTGCAGTGTCCAGGAGGCTCTGGAAGCTGCCTCCCTGCATCCGGCTCAGCTTCTGGGAATCAGCCCCAAAAAGGGAAAGCTGGACTACGGCTCCGACGCAGGTCAGAGCCGACTGCATCTTTATTTCTGCCTCCCTGCTGTTAGAGCTGCTGTAGTTCCTCCTTTGTGTCCTCAGCGTTTTCTTGGGTGTTAATTTGGACTTTTTTCATGGTGGGGGGGGGGGGCTGTATAACAGTTGACCAAAGCCTGCAGTTCCTCTAGTGTCCAGCAGAGGCTCCAGCCAGTCTCCATAGACTCCCATGTTAAACTTTACAGCAGAAATAAACACGTTTACAGCCAAACTGCTTCGAGAACTTCGAACTCGCTCTGTTTCAGATTTACAATAAAAGTTTTAATAAGAGTAAATAAAATAACCCACATGAATGTTGGGTGAATGTTTAGCCTCCATCTTGCACATTGTCAGTTGTGCAGCGCTTCAAAGGTCAACGGCGTTGGATTAAAGTTTAACGGCTGTAGCCGTGAGGTTCTCTGGGATCGCGCCGCCGCGCTCTGACCTTTCCTGGAGTTCATGTGCTTTCCTTTAAGTGAGGCCAGCGGCTCGATTCAGGCTGAATTTGTGAGACTTACAGTTTAACTGATCCTTCAAAGCATCGATGTTCGTCCAGATGTTCAGGAGGAAACCATCTGCGACTGACAGAACTCCAACTTTCCACCGTCTTCTGATTCTTTTCTCTCAGCAGCGCTGCCTCCTGTCTTTCTTACACTCTGCACTATTTTGTTTTATAGACCTCGTTCTGCTCGATGAGGGCCTCAACGTCAAAGCCACTTATATTTCTGGAGAGGAGGTTTGGAGAAAAGGACAGTAGGAGATGAAGAAGCAAACTGGACCGCCTGTGCCTTTGTACATGATCGACATGTTGGGGTTTTAATGGACTGCCTGAGTGCACCAGGCACTGCCAGAAAACTGGACCAGAGTGAAATATTTCTGCATTATTAGTTTATTAAATGTCAGATGATGTGGAAAATGTTTTCCTGCTTTTCCAACTACCAAAGATTTCTGTTTATTACCCTGAAAGTCAGCGTGCTCATTGATCGTGTGTTGCTGAAAGTCTGTTGTGTTAAAGCAGCTGTATGACCTCTGCAGGGTCAGGGGTCACAGTGGATGTCACTGCACACCCTCAGTTTCTGTAAGCGTCTCTTTTTCTTTGTTGCAAATTTTACTGACACCATCAACAGAGTGTGGACAGACTGCTGCTGGTGTGGCTGCAGATTGTCTCATCGTGAGAGGGTCTGGTGTTCTCTGGTTTGAACGTTTTCAGCCTTTAAAAGAAGAAATAGTCACATCGTGGACTCATAACTGTCCGCGTGAGACCGACCTGGTGACAGGCTGTTCAGGAACTCAAAAGTAAGGGTGGGAAACTCCTGCTCAGGAAACTTTGTCATGAATCGCTCTCACGGGTGAAATGCTGCCCCCTGGCGGTGAAAGGTATAGTTAAAGGATCGTGAGAACCTCTTTACCCCTCAGGTGTCCACGAGGGTAACCCTCGTTTCTCTTTCCTGATCTGAACAGAAAGAGAAAAACCTGGAAATGAATCTGATGGTCGTCAAATCTGAGACAGATCGACAGACGCTGGCAGAGTTCAGGCTGTGCTCGCTTTAACCTTTGTGACATCAGAAAGATCTGAGAGTACAAAAACTGTAACAAGCTGAGTGTTTACAGCAGGGTGAGCCTGAGCTCACTCAGATTATTCGTACACACTCAGAGCTCACAATTAGAAACACCGGACATGTTTAATCTGAAAATCCAGCACAGGAACAGGAGGGACGGTGGAAAGGACAGTCCAGGTTAATAATGACACAGTATGTAGGCTCAAACAGACACGATGTCCTTTGCAGTAACAGTGTGTGTGTGTGTGTGTGTGTGTGTGTGTGTGTGTGTGTGTGTGTGTGTACACTCTCAGACACTCTTTATAAAGTAAAAGTCCTGCTTTCATTTAGTGAAAGTAAAAAAAACTGTAAAAATACCGAGAGACACTAAGCAGCACAGATAAATACAAACAGTGATGACAGACTAATCTTCCATCTTGTAGTTTTTTAAAATTCTAATATTGGTGAAAATTTTCAGGGGGAAGGTTTAAAGCAAAGTCTCAATAAACGTAATTTTTCCTTTGATTCCAGTTTTATTTTTATTTAAATGTTTTTTTTAGTTTGGATGATCACAGTGTGACGTGATTTACCTGAAGCACCAATGATCGAGCAGGATCAGGTGATCAGGGACAGAAACATAACTCACATTTTACTGATTTTGCGCATGAGTGGTAAAACTTCTCAGCGCGTGTAAAAACCTCTGTGTCCTGAAGTTACGTTTCCACGCTATGATTCAAATTTAGCGCCGAGTTACACAGGAAGCATCAGTGATTCATAAAAACTAAACTTTGATTGTCAGTGTTTCCGTGCCGGTGGGAGCTGACGAGGCTGATCACATTTCAGCGAGATTTACGGCGGAGGCTGGTGCGCGAGAGCTGGACCGGTTCATCCTCCAGGACAGCACTGCGGGAGGAGACGGTCATCTTCCCGGAGAAGAGGCGCCATGCCCCGGCTGGCTGGCTCGGTCGGTGTCCTGTCCTGAAAACGTCCCCGCAGAATACAACCGTCCACGAGCCAAAGCGAAATAAAGAGGAAGTCGCTTTCAAAATAAAAGCTCAGACACTTTTTTTAAAACAACAAATATACATAGTAATGTAGTTATAGAAAGGGTATGAACAATTTCACAACTTGCAGTATCTTTTACAAGTCATGCATACAAATACAAGTACGTAAACAAAAAAGTATACTTTAAGAGAAAACAAACAAAATAAGCGATTAAAAAAGAAAGAGGTGCTCAAGGTATAAACGAACAACATATAAATGAAGTGAAACTGCACAGTCGACACAGCTCTTGTGTTTTACATGCTTTGGAGTCAGTGCTGTCCTTTAGATTCTCTAGATAATTGGAAAGCAGGGCTTTAAAAACAAATATGTTTGGACGCTGTTGAGAAAACTTTGTGCAATGTTTGTGAAGTTCAGCAAAAATAATCAGAAGACTGATAATATTTTTTTTTCCTGGATTTATTTTATCGGTATGTGAGAGGCCAAATAGAATATGTTGAAACTTCAGTTTCAATTTTGGTGTTTATAAAATTATTTAGATCACTACAAAACATACGTGTATACGTGCATTCCCAAAATAAATGACATATTGTTTCCTCTGCACTGCTGCAAAAAGTACAAAGAGTATCAATATTTTTCTTAAATTTAACCAGATATGTCTTTACCGGATAACATCTATGGATCAACTTAAGAGTAACTTCTCTGACCTTATTAGTGATAATAAATTTCCTTGACAGAATCCAAGTGTTTTTCCAGTTTATATCATTGTAAATATCCAATAGAATAAAGCTGCAGGTTTGGAAACAATATCTCTTTGAATAATTTGTCTAATACATTGATTTGTGGCTTTATCACTCAATAAAGGACAGATGTTACCGATGTATATGTTAGTGGGATTTAGTTCTGGAATAACACAATTTCTACCTTTAGGAGCAGACACCAGTAACCTTCTCACCCCATCTGGAATTGCATCAAAAACTACAGCGTATTCTTTTGGAGTGACAGCAAAATCATAAACAGACAAAAATTCCTTATAAGAAAATAATTGACCTTTATCATTCAGTAACTGACTCACAAGTAAAATTTTTCTATCAACCCATTTAAAGCTCAGACAGATCACAGACGCTTAAAGCGTGCGGTGACGTCACTTTTGCTTATTAGAAAGAGTTTGAAGGGAGACGGTCCACTAAAGCACTGCAAGTAAAATCTGTCTTTCCAAGTAATGATCATTTACATTGTTTTTACTTTATAGGACACAAATGTAATATTCCACTGAACGAAAAAGAGTTGTAACAGGGGCAAAAATAATAATATTAACACGCTGTACCTCAGAAAAAAGAAAATATTCATTCATCCCATTATTTTTTAACAGCATGTTTTTCTTGTAAATATACAAAACATATAAATTCCTGATTACTGAGAGTTATAACCAAGCAGTAACGTGAAGCACCAAACCTGCAGTTTCTCTGACGTCCACTAGAGGCTCCAGCAATGAGTCAGTCCCCATAGACTCCAGTGTTAAAACTTTACAGCAGAACTACGTTTACAGTCTGATATACAAGCTGATTGCATTGTTAGGGGCGTGGCCGCTGCGACTGACAGGTGGATGGTGACACAGGCACTGAAATGTTCTGGGCGGTCCCGGAAACCAGGATGAATCTTTCTTGTCATTGCACTGAGGTACAGTTCATTTCTGTTCAGTGATAAATCAGATGACATGTGGAATGAGGCCTTAACGTGGCTTCCTTCGCAGATTCCTACGCAAACGTTCAGCCTCCTCTCGGGGTTTAGTAATCTTCTTCTTGCTTTATTGGGATTTTATTTTGAAGGTGCGGAGAGGAAGTGGTTCTTCCTCCCCGCAGCTTGACGGTGGGGACCGCGAGGAGCTCGATGGTGACTGTGCACATCGCTGTGTGAATGACAGAGGATGCATGGAGGTCTCCGGCAGCTGGCAGCCACAGATCCGTGTCCTCCTCGGTGCAGCAGCGGCGGCAGCGGGCATCCTCTCCGCGGTGAGTCTGCAGCTCTCCTCCGGGCTGCTCTTTGTTTTCATGCCTGCAGTCTCTCAGCCAGCCACCAGCTGTACTGCAGGTACACCAGGTTACCTAAAGTCTGCATGTGAACTTCAGGTATCAGCAGGGAAGCCTCTGCAGTGAGGGACAGAGGGAGGCAGAGCAAACTGTCTCTGATCACTTCATTTAACAGCAGACATCTGCGGCTTTAACGCTCGGAGCGTATCTTTATCATTTAGTCATAAACACCAAGGAGGAGAGAGACAGTTTGAGAGCAAAGCGTTCTCTTCTGGGAATAAAATCGGAGGATTTTGGTAGAAGAGCGTGCAGCAGACTCTCAGTCAGCGTTCCGATCAGGAGCATCTGGATCTGGAGCTCCTGATCGTATCTGAAGTCCTTGTTCAAGGACACAACTGTGGAGCGAGCAGGAGCAGCTGGAGCCAGAGACACACTGATGAGTCTGATGAAGATGAAGCTGCTGATTAACATTTCATATAATCCTCCTCTGGTTTAAAACTGAAGTATGAGGATAAAAGTGATTTAGTTTAAAAATCTGTTAATAGTTAATAATAATCATAACATCACCCATTATTGAATTTTTCATGTATTACACATTTATCTTATCATAAATATCATACGTGGATATATAAGATCAGTGTACGTAACGTAGTCTTCAGACGGCTCCAAACAACCAGTTTCACAGAGTTTTTTGAACTTTTGGATCTGCATGATGTCAGAGAGCAGACAAAAGCTCCACCCACCACCTGTTTAAATGTTGCAGTTGCCCTAAAAGGGGTGGGGCTAAATCTTGTTTCAAACAGAAGAACTGTGAATCATGCAAAGGTACTTAAACTTTCCAGCACAAACTTTCCTGACGTGCTTACTGAGCTCATAAATCAACAACTTTATTCAAACTCATCGTTACAACAAGAGGAGCTGCCACCTGCTGGCCGTTACAAATAATGCACGATTAGAAAGCTTCAGCACTTTTTCCATCTTTTATTTTCAGCGCGACCAAAACCTGACAGTAAAACAAAGAAACGGTCATTACTTCATCCCTCCTTTACATGCTCAGCCGGCGTCTGTCCACTTATGCTCAGTAAGTAAGGGAGGGAGGCTAATGACTCGTTGCTATTTGTGAATGAAGCTAAATGTGATTTTCTCTCTGGGATAATCTTTCTCTTAATGGTGGAAGTGGTGAATGATTAGGTTTATAAGGATGGATCTGCATCAATCAAACGTGGCTTTTAAGTCCGCTGCAGAGTCATTCAGACTTTGCAAATATAATTTCTTTCTGAAGTCACTCAGAAAAGAGTTTAGAACCAAAATGTATGCACAGGAACTCCAGCCTGCTCTGAATGCTCAGTTTATCGCAGCTTTCTCTACTCTTGGATCTGTATGATGTCATAGAGAGCACATATTCTGACCCACCTGCTGTTTAAACCTTTTTTTAAATGATGAACAACCAATCAGAATAAAGATGTCCTGTCCTTTCAGACAGGATGAACCGAGGG